AATCATATTTTTCGAAATTAAATAATTGTATTATATCTTATATTGAACCAGAAGTTCAATTTGTTTGGCATGACCAGTTGGACCATCACTGGATCAACAATGATGCGAAATCAAAATGAAGAACTAGAAGATTCTTCAATCCTATAAATTTCTATATATCATTTGTTCTCATTATCGACAATTGATCATTAAAGGCCATTAGCTAAAATTGGAATTGAATTTCCTATATATCTGAAAATTAATTAGGGTGGTATATGGGGCCCCGTCACCCACCACGTTGATCATCTAAATATTATTTGTATATAATAAATTTGATACAAATACTAGATGATTGCACGGTATTTGCAACCTGAAGTTTGCGAAATTATTGCTCAAATTTTAAACTATGAGCATAATTTTCAAATTAAATAATCGAAACTGTGTATTGTTAATACTAGTGGGTATAGATCTCAACATTTTAATGAGTGCTTTTTGAGATGCCGATAAATGATTTAACAAGCTTGTTTGTTAAACGCCTCCAATTATTTAATTGAGAAAAATATATTTTCCATTTCCGTTTAGGGAATGTTATTACGTATCTTGTCAATATCATAGTTCTTCCTATTAAAATTGACTTATGGTCAGAGCCTAAATTTTTCATCTAATTATTTTGATAGTGCAGTATGTATAAAATTGATCCCCTACAATCCACTGAGATGGAAAGTAATGAATACTGAGAATAAATGCGTAGTATGAACTCTTATTACAAATGGTAATATTTTATAATGCAGTAAAAATATTTGTCAATTTAATTTGACAATTATCTCAGCATTAGGGGAGGAATTAAAAAGTTTAAAATAATGTATAAATGTATTATCATCTAAATTCTCGCTAAATATCATTCGAACTAGAAGTTTGAAAGAGAATTTATTTAGATACATTTATTGATCAAATAGATCAACAATATCTCACACACCAATTTTTAATGCTCCAATACGAATTGATGTCTTAAGGGACAATTTGTTAGCATTATATTTGATATATCTATGGCACGCTTGAAGCGTGATGGTGTTTGATTCTCGTACAAAATTCTTCAAACGAAAATAGAGCAATTAGTAAAGATGGTTTCATTAAGGAGGTATATACTCTTAATGAGTATTTAGACATAACAAATTATAAAACCCCAGAAGAGGTTCAGGTACCTGATATATTGAAAATTGAGATATCTTAATAAGTTATGTCATCATGGAAAAAGAGATAGAATCGAACAAGAAAAGAAAAGATTGTCGATAATAGTTTTACACATGATGTGCTACATCATATAGCGAAGAATCGAAATAAATTCGTTGAAATATATCGATCAAAATAATGATTGGCCAAATAAAATGGATGCGATTATAGTAAAATTGAACTTACTAGAGAAACTTGAAATTTCTGGATATACAGTTCAAACACTAAGAGGTGTATACTTGTGTGAAATGAAAATAGAAAAGGTAAAGTCGTAATGTGAAATGTACAACTTTTTACATAATAAATTTCGCGAACACTTGTATACATATATTAGTTATCATGTGGTGGATGTAATCACAGGTATTTACATTGTTAGTGTGATAATGCATAAAATTTGATGTGCCTTTAATAAATATGATTATAGATAATTTATTTTGTATTATTTTGATACCATTCTGGAATGATTGAATATGCCTAAAGCATAATTCAAGTGATATTATCATGAGGGGGAGTAAATACGCGTTGTACTCTTTTTCCCTTGACCAAGGTTTTATCCCATTGGATTTTCCTGACAAGGTTTTTAATGAGGCAACTTTTATAGTGTATTCAAAAGAATATTGTACTCTTTTTTCCTTCATTAGGATTTCTTCCCACAATGTTTTTCCTAATAAGGTTTTAATGAGGCATATTCTTCGTGTAATTAATGTCTATAACATGCAAGACATTTACCCTCAAAATAATACATTATATGTATGAGACTCTTGAAGAAATCAACAAGAGTTATTTTTCGAATTATCATGTTACTACAGTTATCAAAGAATGATAAATTATCCCTTACGAAGATGGTGTTATTTGAAGATTGTACAAGACAACATGAGACATTTCACCAAAATTATAATATTAAAGATAGTGATGTACAAGGCAATGATGAATTAATGCAAGAATTGAAATCAAGGGGAGTAGCTGTACTCTTTTTTCTTCGATCAAGTTTTGTCCCACTGGGTTTTCTTGACAAGATTTTAACGAGGCAGCATCTTATTACTCCAAATTATTTTTACTCTTTTTGTTGGCATTTTTGTCCCATTGGGTTTTTTTCTAATTAATCTTTCAATGAGATAGATATTTTATAATGTGTTATTCAAGGAGGAGTGTTGTAAAAAGGAAAGTTCATTAGGGTTTATTGGTGAAGGACAATTATACCCCTGCAGCCCTAGAAATTATTATCGTTGTACCCCTGATTCTGCTCTATAAATAGAGGGCTTTAGTTCTTAATAAAACACAAGTCTATTGACTTCTCTCTATTCTCTTCTCTATTCTCTCTTTTTATAACATCATCATAATTATCAATTGAGTTTTTCTAGATTAATTACAAACCTTTAAATAGAAGAAAACAACCCTAAAGCATAAGGGATTGAGCCAAACCCATATACAAGTCCAATAAAACATAAAATCTAAATAAATAGACATAAAACATAAATAATTGGCCCAAACAAACGGCCTAACAAAGGATGTACACAGTAACTTTTCCAGGGTGAGAGAAAAACTCGACCTTGTCAAGTGGGTAAATTGCAAAATACTGCTGTCAATCTGATACCCAAAATGCTTCAAGTCATGCCAAGGTGGATGATCTTTCTGACGAACCAAATTTCGAAATTCCATGATTGATAATAATGAAAACTACAGCTTATTCCCAAGAGTATGATCTGACCAAGGGGGACGGTCTTTTCTTTAAATCAAGTACTGATACTGAACTCCAAATAACAAACACTCATGTAGCTCATCTCCAAAATTTTTATATGATTATGCATAATGAAATTAGATATAGCATCTATTCTTTAGCAAATTAGATATGGCACCTATTCCTTTACAAAGCTCAAGTATCTTGGAAAGTGCAAGTAATCAAATTAGCACTATCTTATGAGAAATTTAGCCTGCACCTCATGGTGGAAAATGAACTTGAATTGAATAGTAAACAAAGTGAATAGACATACTTTTAAGTAATAATAAACCTAGTCTTTGGGACGAAACACGCTACGAATAACTTAAATTTAAGAAAATAGCAGAACTAAGGTACTCCAAAATCAATTGTACAGGTACAAAGAGAAAGGTTGATCCAACATGTTCTACATAACTATAATTTGTCAATAACATATAGTATTTGCATGTGTAAAACGAAAAACCAAGACCACGAATCAAAAAGAATTTAATGACTGTTCCTCTACATTTACTCCAACATTCAGTCAGTCTTATGACAAAACAACTTATCAGAAGGTAGATCAAGCATGTCTGATGTACACACACACGGGTCCTATTTGCACCTTTTTTGAAGACAGAAGAAATGATATACCAAGATCACTCACAAAACAAACTTCTGCTTCGTGAGATAATAAGTAGAAAACAGCAGAAATCATAGCACGTTAAATGAAAGTTTCAGAAGTGAATGAAACCAATAATTAATTTATAATAACACATCAAGAAAAGCATTTTGGACTTTTTTTACATGTTTTTTTCTTTATTTTATTGACTAGTATAGAAATGATATATATCAAACCTTAAGTAGTTAGTTCCCAATAGAAAAAGGCCGTAAGATAATATCTAGAGTTTAAAATGAGAGTCCTGGAAAAAAATTCAACAAGTACCAGCTCAAACTCACCCATATAGGATTTTTTCATTGGCTAGTTCCCGTTCCCAATCCCAATCTCAATAATTTTCAGTTTTGTTCATTTTAATCTTCTACTTTTCTTCCTGGAGACGACATAAGATTAAATGGAACTAATATAAATAACTCTACAGAACTGAAAAATCAAATAGTGAAAGAAGTGCTTGTAACTGAATTGTGCCTCTGGTATATCTTCTCCCTCTTTGGGTTCATCCTCTTCTTCTACCTGCCAAAATTAACGCCAATAATTAACATCCAAATAACTGAGCATAAAAATCCCCTAAGTAAAGCCAAGATAAGCCGTTAACACTACAAGAAGTGGATTCATATATTTCTAAAGAAAAATTCTGAGTGTACAGAAATTTTTTCACAGGTTGTGTATAATATAGAGACGGACAAGTGTGTAGGCCCCATGTATAAAAAATGCCAAAAGTGTGCGTGGGTCTAGAATTGTGAATTTTCTGTATGTGTTCTGATAAAAATCCTTCCATACATGTAGAAGGGTCGATTTCTAAATATTTTATTTTCTGTTTTTCATAATTGGTCAACTTTCTATAATATATTACAAGATAAGGATCTATACTACGCCGTAAATATTCCATTTTCTTTTCTGGATGATAAAGAAAAACCTGACTATCATAGGCACCTCATCTTATAAGAGCTGATATAAATTTCCAACATTTCTACAATTCTACGTATACACATTCCTGACACGAAAACTGAGCTCATTCACAGACTAATAATTTTTGTACTCTGTGCAATTGCCAGCCTCGCGAAGGAGATATACTTGGTAACCGTCCTATATGGTGCGATAACCGTACAGGACTGTATGACTTCCAGTCATTGATATAATTAGTATGGATATTCTAGTAGATAGCAATAATTTGCTCTTCTTTGACATCCTTAAAATTTTAAAAATATTATTTTGAATAATATTTTTCAAAGAAAAATATGATTAAATATTAGTAAAAAGTTTTAAATTACGTGTAAAATGTTTTATTTTATAAATATATATTTAAAAATGAATGTATAAAATAAATTAAATTAAAGTAAAGTAGGTCAAACACGGCAAAAAGAGACGGGGAAAAAGGATCCAGGTGGGGACACCAACTTTATTGAGATTAAACGTGCTCAAAGGGCATACTCCTTTCACACTGATTGTTAAAACATCCATCACTCTCTTTCTCTCTCTCTCACACACACACACACACACACACTTTCTTGGACAGTAACAATGGCGAGCTCGAAAAATGGCGTTCATATCTTAGTGTTTCCATATCCAGCACAAGGCCACATGCTCTCACTTCTTCATTTGACTCACCAACTATCCATTCGTGGCGTAGCCATAACCATTTTGGTTACTCCTAAAAACATTTCAATTCTTACCCAACTTCTCTCTGCCAATCCTGCAATCCAAACCCTAGTTTTACCTTTCCCAGAACACCCCAAGATCCCCACAGGTGTAGAAAATGTTAAGGACATTGGAAATCATGGAAATGGTCCTATAATCCTTGCACTAAGTAAATTGGAGGGGCAAATAATAAAGTGGTTTACATCTCATAGTAATCCTCCTGTTGCAATCCTCTCTGATTTCTTTCTTGGTTGGACTCATCGTCTGGCCGAGAAAATTGGAATTCCCAGAATCGCTTTTTACTCTTCTGGGGCATTTCTTACTGCTTGTTTTGACAGTCTCTGGAGAAATCCCGAGGCTGTAAATCCAAGGAGTGAAATCAAATTTGAAGATTTACCAAATGCTCCGAGCTTTCCATGGGACCAGGTTCCTTCATTGTTCCGGCGGTATAAAGAAGCAGAATCAGATCCCGATTTGGAGCTGCTGAAAAACAGCATGGCTGCAAATGGTTTGAGTTGGGGGTATATTTTCAACACTTTTTATGAATTGGAGAATGAGTACTTGGAATTTCTGAGTAAAAAAATTGGGTATCAGCGAATTTATAGTATTGGGCCACTGAATTTACTTCATGGACCTGAACAGATGAATGTAAAATCTGATTCCAATAATGGCGAGGTTTTCTCATGGCTTGATGGGTGTCCTGACGGGTCAGTTCTGTATGTTTGTTTTGGGAGTCAAAAGGTTCTCAAGAAAGTGCAAATGGAGGCTTTGGCAAATGGGCTCGAACGGAGTGGAGTCCGGTTCATTTTGGTGGCAAAGCCGTTGACAGCGGAGCAAGTGGCAGAGGGTTTTGGATCTGTCCCTGAGGGGTTCGAACAGAGGGTTGTGGGCAGAGGGTTTATTATAAGGGGGTGGGCACCGCAGGTCCATATACTGAGTCACCGAGCGGTGGGTGGGTTTCTGAGTCATTGCGGATGGAATTCAGTGCTGGAGGCTATAGCAGCTGGCGTGATGATATTGGGGTGGCCGATGGAGGCGGACCAATTTGTGGACGCGAAGCTTATGGTGGACTACTTGGGAGCGGCGGTCCGAGTTTGCGAGGGCGGAGACACCGTTCCCGACTCAGATGAGTTGACTCAGAAGATTACCGAGTCAATGAGTAGGGATAGAACTCATAGAGTTAAAGCCATGGATTTGAGAGACAAGGCCATGGAAGCAGTGAAGGTTGGAGGGCGTTCTAACAAAGATATGGATAGGCTTGTTAAAGAACTAGACCAACTGTTGTATCTTACACGCCCAAATAAAAATGTATGAACTGTACTAATAAAATCTTGTTAAATTATAATGCATAGAGCATGTTTGGCAAGAAAATATAGCTTTCTTATAAGTTGAATTCCCACAAATTGGGTGACCAAAATCCATAAGCCTAACTTATATGCCACTTAATTAAATACTGTTCATTTGGTACAATTTTTGTTTTGATGAGTTGAAAATAATTTTTAATTTGATGTAAATTTTGGTGCAGAGTTGGAGATTAGAGATGGTTAGCTAAGCTTCACTTACTACAATCTAATCATTGAGAACAATTGGGCATAAATCTCAAGAAAAAATTGAATCATTTTTCAGATCAATTATGGACTTGTTTTACCTGTACGCAAAGGGATTAATAGTAGTAATAAGTTTTACAAATCTGGAGGTTAAAATGTTTATTATTATCAAACTGATATTAGTTTGGCAATAATCTGTCAGATGGATCTGCAAAAATAGTGGCCTAAAGAGCAGAATAAATAACAAGTCTACAAGTCAACCTAGATATATACAAGTCAACAAGTCAACCGATAATGGAAAGCATTTCATCAATTGGTAAATTCCAGATACAACTTTTGAAAACAATGACCTCTGGTGCAGGACCACCATTCTTAGAAAAATTAAAATTGGGCATGACGAACGATAATGATCCTTAAAGTCGTGGCGCATTAAATAATTAAAAAAAAAGAAAAAGGGTTGAACCCTAACCTTAAGGGCTCTCATCGCTCCGTCCCTAAAACTTTGTGAGGGAGGTAAATCGCAGAATGTACCTCAACAGGTCAGGGAACAAGAGATATCTGTATACTGCGCCTACAAGAAATCTAATTCTATATCTCAAGAATCGAGCCCCATACTGCGGCTGCCAGCAAGACGTGAGATAACCTCACTTCTATCCTTTGCATCACTGAGCTATGCCCCCGACGGCAAGTTGTGGCGCATTATCAAACACATGTTGACGAGCTAATGCAGATAAAGTATTATTAGGGTATACATGCAAATCATCTAGAAAAAAAAAAATTCGTTAGTATCTACTGAGCTAATACCACATGTTGAAAATTATAATTGTTTCGATCCAAATTCAAAATTAGAATAACTAAAAGCAACATGTCACTTATTATTTGGTTTCTCGATGATTAAGGTAATCAATCGAATTTAATTAACTAATTATATGTGTCAATCAAATGAAATAAATAAAGATCAAAAGCATTAAAGAATAGAAAATATGATCATGGAAGAAAAACCTTAATTTGATAAAAAGCCTAAGGACAAACTTATCAATAAAATCCACTAGAAAAGTTAACTTACAATTAAACTAGACACTGCTAAATTTTAATTGACTATGACCACCTAATTTGTAAATCACCGAGAAACTCTTTCAGTTTTGCACTCCCCGAACTTCTTGCCTTTGATATTGTCCCTTTCTCACATAGTCCTAATGGAGTAGATCTACGTAGAACATAATCTATGGGGAGAAGTTTTTCACATTCTGATTTTGCCCTTGTTTGGTGCCCATTATTTCAAAAATAAAATAAATAAGAGTTTTGAATAGTATTTTTAAGAAAATGTGGTTAAAAGTAAGGAAAAGTTTACATTTTTTTACATTTTGATTTTGCCTTTGTTTGATGCCAATATTTCAAAAAAATAAGAGTTTTGAACAGTATTTTTAAGAGAGTATGTAGTTAAAAATTAGGGAAAAATATTGAATTTATGTTCAGAATATTTTATTGCATGAATGTGATTAAAAAATGATAATATAGGCAAAAAAAATAAATTTAAACAATGGACACCAAACAACCATTCAGATGGATTGTTGCCGATTGTGTTATTTGGCATGGAATATGTTACTTGTACAAGATGCGATGTCCATCCCCTTACATGGAGGGCTTCGAATCTCCCTTCATATGAGGGGGTGGATACAATTATGAACATTCTGATGTACGTATAACATCACTCATTTGGTATTAGTACGAAGAATTTTATCATAAGATAACTCAGGAAAAATGCCATTAGCAATAATTCAATCATTTATGGCCTGTTTGATTGCACAAGAATTTCTATGGAAAATGGAAAATCAATTACATTTTCCAACATTTGGGGTATTTGACAAGATAAATTTTCCATGGACCTTGACTACGTAGACATTTTCCACAATTTCGTGGAATTTGAATTCTCACCATATTGGTTCTCAATTCAAGTTCCATATTACTGTAGTGGATTTTTATTCATTTATTTATTTATTTTTTTGCAATAGAAACAAATTTTATCCCTAATTGTAAAAAAATATTTCCATTTAATTGACAATTTTCATGTAAAACAAAGTCAAACGAATTCCAAAATATATATGATTTTTTGATTTTTTTTTTTTGTTGGCAATGAAAACAAATTCTAGGAACAATGATAGAAGTGGATATCCCTTAAATTGACAATTTTCATGTAAAACAAAGTCAAACGAACACTAAAAAACACTTTATATTTCAACATTTTCCACGTAGAAAATTATACCAATCAAACACTATCAATTGACAATTCTAAGGAAAACAATTTCTAAACAATTCAATTCCCTAGAATTCATTTTCTTTCCACCAAAATTCCACATTTGCAATCAAACGGACCCTTAGAAGAATTGGGCGTAAATCTCAAGAAAAAATAATCATTTTTAGATCAATTATGGACTTTTTTTCTTGTACCCAAATGGATTGATGGTGGTGATAGGGTACAACTTTATATTTTTTGAAAATTGTTTTAAATTTTTTTTTCTTTATATTATAAATAATTTTTTTTGATTTAAAATTCTTTATAATTAAGCTTTGAAAAGGTTTTCTCCATTTATGGGTATGTTCATGTCTACATTATTTTCTAATGTTCTAAATACCTTTTTTGCAATCTTACAGTCAAACTCTACTGACAACAAAATCAGGTCCTTAGAAGAAGGTTAATACATGAAATTGCATTTAACATTTTAAGTTATAATTTAGGATTCTACATAGTGCTTGCCAACATAAAAAACCATTTTTAATGCAATAGTGTAGATATTGTTATGTTGTATATTTTTGTGATATTTAATTATTATAATCATAGTATGAATTAGGGGCAAAACTTGAGCGGGCTAAATCATATTTTAGGCTCAGCTAATATATATAGAAAAATATATTCCGCATAAAAAATTTTCCACAAACTTTTGTACAGGCAAATGCCTGGTACAAATATATGCAAATTCTCAAATGTTTACATAAAGAATAAAAAATATACAGAGAAAATTGAAAAATAAGTTAATTTCATCGAATTTATGAACACCTTCAAATTTATAAATGAATTTTTCTAAAATTTGCAGACACTTATTTTAAACATTAACTAATTATAACGTGCAATGCACGTTCACTCACTAGTGTTTATAAAAACCACCACCCTCTGACTATAAATAAATAAATACTATAAATATACATGATAATAGAAAGAATTATTCTTTCATCAATGAACCAAGCTATCTTGGAAGAGAGGATTTGACACCCTTCTGACAGACACTCACAAGGGGACAGGGGTGGGTGCACTTTTTGGCATTTTTTATTAAAGAGAGTCCCATGTGGGTCCCTCCGCAAGCGATGAATGTCAACCAAGATGTCAAAATTTTTCTGACAAATAAGTTTTACTCTTTCATACTGAAAATTTTCGAAAATGAATCCTAGTGCAGGGCCTCCACTCTTAGAAAAAACTAGACATAACGAACGACAATGGTTACCAAACACATCTTGACGAGTTATTACAAATAAAATACTATTAGGGTACACCAGCAAATCAGCTAGAAAAATAAAAGTAGATACAGTCGATGCGTACCATTAATCTGTTTTAATTGATCGGTGGCTGTGGAAGTCAATGGCATACATGCTGACACTTTCCCTTTCCTTCTCTCTCCCAAGGGCGCGCCTATATTGTGAATAATGAACAGTAATATTGCTTTGAGTAATTGAGTGTTAGACATTATCCACTTCGCTAAGACCAAAACAGAGAGCTACCAATGATGAGAAGCACAAAATCTCTCTCCAATGGTTTCAACCTGGATCAAAGACACATTTGATCATCACAACGTACAATTCAAATCTGGAGCTAAAATCACCAATTTGGTCAACCAACATCACTCGAAGAAAAAGTTTTGCATCATCTACTAAATCTCTTTTGCAATGTCTATTGATCAAAGAGCTGTAGTCTCTGATAAAAATTTCAAATCCAATCTCGTTCATTTGATTGAAGAGAACCATTGCCTTCCGAGCGCTACCCTTCACACAATGTGCTTTTATTAGAGTAGTATAGGCAACTTTTGACAATCTTACATTTTAGTCTTTGACAGAAGAAAAGAGTTTATTAGCATCCTTTAGGTCTCCATAAACACATAAACCATTAACAAAAATATTATTAGTCTGAAGATTATGTGGTAACATCATGTTATGTAACTTGAACGCTTGTTCCAGATATTGAGCTTTACAGAAATACTTAGTGAGAGCCAGTGGCGGACACAGACATTTGGAGTTAGTGGGGCACAATCAAATATATTAAAAAGCTACAAAAAAATTATGTATTCTAGAAAAACAAATACATATGATCACTATCATAGATTCAGAGATCTCATACATATGATAAATAATAATTCCCAAAGCATTTGAAATAATCTCACATATACGATGAATAACAATTTTTAAAGAATTTTCAAATTAAATATCACAAATAATTTCAACTCACTCTCTCAATTCTTCGATTATTGTTGGAACTCTATTCTAAAAAAAAAGCCCAACTATCATTATTGTCCAATTCTAATTTTTGATCCTTATGAAAAATAAAAAATAAAAAATAAATAAAAAAATCTGACTTGAAGCTGGTGGTTCAAGTGACCCACTAGGACTTTGAGTAGGTCCGCCACAGGTGAGAGCGTAGTAAGAAGTTTGATATGGAGATAGACCCATGGCTAGATTCTTTCAGCTTCCCTTGCCTGCATAGCCCTTTCATAACTACGGCGTAGGTTACTCGATTTGCCTGTACAGAACTTGCCTCCATTTCGTCAAACAACTCAAATTTGCGTTCTAAATTTTCCTCTTCACAAAATGTCATGAAGGTAGTACGAGTAAAAATAGTGGGTTCCAAACC